CCTTTGTTGACATTAAAGCAGAACTTGAATCAGTATTATCAAAAAAAAAATCGGGTTTTTTGATATGAAACATTCACAAATACTACATGTGGCTCAGCTATCATCATTCACAATCACTGATTTACATATATTGTCACATCTAAACATCTGTATGAAAGTTGATGTTTGATTCACAAATAGGTAAATGTTGTATCTTCAGAATAAAATTATATATGTATCTTTGAATATGAGATTCCTCTTGCCTTTCAAACTCCATATAATTTTGGTTATTTCCACTTACAATCTAGAAAATTCTTCTAATTAAGTTTGGAAAATTTTAACTCAACTTGAGAGCAACAGTGAAACCCCATTACTGTCAAAGTCTCACCAAAAAATGAAGTTTTAAACATAGCCCACGGTCACAGATAAGAATTAAAACTCTTACAGAGAAAATAAGAGTTTGCCACCACACATCATGCACCACATCTAGTTCTTGTGCCAAAATAAACAACACAGGCTAAAGAATCCATTATTTTCTGAAACATAAACACTGAGAACATTTAAGTATTTTTTAAAACTCAATTCTGCCTGCAATATTTTCTTTCTAATAGTCTTATCTAGCTGATAGTGGAAAAAAATGTCAACACCCACAAGCCTTTGCATGTGGTTTTAGACTGTACTGTACTGCGATTGCTTAAGATCTAATCCTTATTTTTTTTGGCTCAGTAATACTACAAATCTTTCCTGTGAATTCAAAGAAACAAATGTGTCAATCCTTCAGTTTACCTTTACTCCTTCTTAGGATTTATTACCACCTGCCACCAGTCTCATTTTACTACTTACTTATTTACCTCTAGCACAAAAACCAAAATCACCAGAAAAAGGCTTAAACAAAGCTAGACCCAGTTCCAGTCCATTTTCAGTCATCTGAGCAATTGCCTGTTAAAAATCATGGGTTTCCCCAACAAGTAAGAAATGGGCAAGCAATTACTTTAGCTTGAAATTCTACATAACTACAACTTCTAAAATTTTTTCAGTCATACACAAATATCCTAGTATGCACTAAGAGCAACACCATGGTAGTTTGTGTGCAGAAGAAAAGACAGGCAAAGGATGTGAGCATTCATTAAATCACATAGCTCTTAGACCAGACAACAGTCCCACTGACAGACTGCAGATGTAAACAGCCAGCCAGTCTGAATATACCTTAGTGATGTGTAAAGCAAATCAGCACAGGGAACTAATCTGCAACATTGTTCAGTAGCTTACAGCTAGTATACATGACCAGTGATAAGAAAGAAGGCACCTAAAAAAAACATATATGATAAAAAAAGCATCCAAAGCTGGCACAGTAAGCAAAACTGAAAGACATATCCATATACAAAACCAATTTGGCCAGATCAGGCAAAATGCCATTAACCGGACTGAGATGCAAAGCAATACAGATTCTGTACAGGACTGCAGAGACAGTTGTAGAAGCCACGCCTTTTCCCAAAACACCTGAAGGTAAAAAGGCTTCTTTCCATATCACTGAAATAAATGGTAATGGCTCAGTAAGTGTCTGCCAGAGGGCCAACCAACACATCAACAACAGTCCCAAGGATGTGGTCCTGCCTCCCGGGCATTCAGCGAGCTCCAGGTGATCTGCAGACTGACAGTCTTTTGAGTGACCTTACCCAAGGCACAGAACATGCCTCTCTTCCAAGGACTTAAGACACTGGTGGTAATAGCCACCAGAGCTTATAAGCATTAATAAGAATAAAGTGTTTAGTCATTTAGTTCTCCTAATTGATTTACTCGTGCTATTTACCAGATGGAAACAAAAGATGTCCCAGGTGGTGGTGCTGTCCATGCTGTACAGACAACTGGCAAATGCTCTGAAAATGGCAATACTGAACTTCATCATCTCTATACACAAAAGGCTCTGCTACTGTGGTAGATGCGACTTGAAAACCTTTGACACAGTAGCTACACGTGATCCTAAAACCTAGAAGAATTTGACAATTTTCATCGTATCTACATACATTTCAAATGAAGTTGAAAAAATAGTTATTGATTGACACTTTTAATATTGCAGCTGGAAAGGATCTTCTAAATAGTGAGCATACCTGACTTTAAACTTCAAGAAATTAAATCACAAAGTTGATGACATCTAAATGGCCATCAATCTTTAATTAGCACATTATTAAGCACTTCCACTGTACAAATGGTTAGCAAAGTACCACAGAAATTTGCTAATTTTCTCATCAATTACCTACAAACCAAAGCCCTGTGATCAATAAACCACATTGGCCCCTACCTATTTCCCGGCAAAACGATTTATTTACAGCATGCAGCAGAAAGACATCCTATTAGCAAAACATTTACCACATACTGTATAGGTCTCCTACTAAACCACTATGAAGTAACACCTTAGTAACACAAAGAAGCCTGCACTCTTGGTTAGTTTACAAATTAAAAAAAAAAAAAAAGAAAAAAATGAATTCATCAAGAAGGTGAGATTAAACCATTTCATTAGCAGAGAAAATTAGAAAAGCAGAGAAAATATTTCACTAAAAAACTGCAGAAGCCTACATGCCCAAATATTTCTCTTCACATCAAAGGGCACTACAAAATATCCCAGAGTTCACAGGAAAAAAATTCAATATGTCAAAAGTTTAATTTCTCTTCCATTTCAGTTCGACATTTTAGCCTCCCAAAAGGTTCTGGAAATTAAATATACCAGCTTCATCCATGGCATGTTTTGAAACTAAGTCTTGTCCTTTAAAATACAGAAAAATACCTGCAAAGATACTGAAACCAAGACACATGCATTGGATTTTTCATATATCCTCCAGAACACAGCCCACCAATATGGGGATCATTGCTCTTCACCAGGAATTTTCTACTCTATGTCTAGGAAAAAGATGCGCTGTCATCTTTATTAAAAATATGTCCAGCATTGGTTAATTTTGAAAAAGTAAATTAGGAGGAAACAACTGCTAAAACAGAAGAAAAAGAGGGGGGAGGAGAAATTATGTAAAATTTGGTGATATTTGGACCCTGTAAACTAACATAAATTATTTGTAAGCATGTGCTGGCATCCACTCGTATCATCAAGACAACGCATGTTTTCCATATATAAACCAATTACACATACTGCAAATTCCAGTCAAAATGTTGTATATACTCACCTTCCCTCCTCTTTTTCCTCTTCTAGTTGGAAGTACCACCTTCCCATGACAAATGTTTTAGTCAAGATATGCCTACAGGATGCATGCATGTATACTCACATATGAACCCAAACAGCATCCAGGGCCCGGAGACAAGCCTGTTTTGGCTGCAGATGGTTAAGACACCAGGGGAGAGAACTAATCTCTCACAGGTTTAATTCTGAGTATTTAACATCAAAAGTTTTCAAAAGAAAATCCTAGCAACCTGGTAGCTTCTAGATGTGCCAGCCAAGAATGTTACAAAATGATGGCGTTTCTCTCTTACAATAATCTCAGTCCAACAGCCAACCTCTCTATACCCAGCACATTAATCTACCTTCTAGTGCATCTGGAGCTGGAGCAGAAGGTTGGGTCCATTTACCTCAACTAGGTATTGTATTTCCCATTTCAGGTAAATCAGATCCTGGAGCACACAAGACCAACTCTGCAGCTTACAAGATTCCCAGAATACGTGGGGGTTTTTCTGATTGCATGAGACACTAACACTATTTCTCCCACCACACCTGGCCCCAGAAAGAAGCTGGGCACAAGATCAACAGTGATATGGGGCCAGAAAACATGTTATGGACATTAAATACTGCACTTGCTGAGCCTGCAGTGGTCCCCACCATGGCTGTTCTTTGCTGGCAGCTGCTATCAGAGGATGTCATACCCTCCACACAGGCAGCGGAGAAAAGGATGCTCAATGGGCAAAGATGGAAGAAAAAAAGGTATAATTTCTCCTACTGGTCGCACTCACTTATAGATTTTCCTATCCAAATCAGCCCTCCATGAAGATCCTCTTGCCCTCTTTCCTTCATGCCTGCCTGCTGCTAGGGACCCCAGTTTCCCCTCTGCTTCTAGAGTCCAGCAGATGTGACATCATGTTAGAAGCACCCCATTTCTGCTCCTCATATACAGAGGAGGAGAAATCTCCAGCTAGTGAGTGACACCATTCCCCAGCTATCCCAGGACTATATGTAGGCAGCAAAACTGTATATCAAAAAGGCAAGGAGATGGCCTTATTCTTACATAATTTTTCAATTTTTTCTAGATCTATATATCTGAAAACAATATGTTGCAATATGCCACAGACCTAAGCTTGATAATAACTCTTTTGTATAGCCTTTAAAGTGAACTCAGTAGAGTTTCACTTGCTTAGAGAGCTGAGTTCTTGCTAATTTGTTTCAAGTAGCATGTGGTTATAATTTTATTCCTGTGGTCCTAATACAAGTATTTTTGAAGGAAAATAGAGACTTCATTAACTATAAATACCTGAAAAAAAATTTTAAGTCGGTAAAATTGAGCTATGAATATCTATTGAGTTTGGAAACACTAATATTTAGTTCAACAAAGGCACATATATTCTCCATAATACTATATGGAGTATAGTATTATGGAGAATATATATCTATATATTCTATAGATATCTATCTATAATCAGTGTTCTGTTTCCCTGCACTTGAATAATAGTACATTCTTTAATGATCAAAAGATAAATGAAAAGGTTTACATGAACTGGTGAAAGGCCTTGACAAGAAGCCATATGAGGTGGTACATGGTGCTACACTTGGGGTGTAGCACCAAGTGCAGGGCGAGGAGTTGGACTCCATGAACCTGATGGGTCCCTTCCAACTCAGGATATTCTGTGATTCCATAATTCTATGAAGTTTCAAGAACCATTCCATGCGGGGCAAAAGACCACTGAAAAACCACCACCTTTCCTTTAGAGCATTGTTGACATCCTGAGAAGTACTTTGTAGAAAAGCATGTTTGCTTTTCCCTGGTTTACAATAATTTAGCAGTAGTTTTATGTTAAAAGAATATTACCGCAGTTCGGGACCTTCATATCCAGCAAGGCTGTCTTCTTATTGTTGTCATCTATGCAATATAAGTCCTGAGTTTCTGTGTAAAACTTGGTCTCTTGAAATTTCTTGATCCACATGATTTCACAGGAACACTTGAATGGATTATCCACCAATATCCTACAGGAAAAAAACACCAATTTACTTAGAAGGTTAAATGTCCCACACATATAGGAAAAAAAAATGAGGAGCAGGGGGTTTCCAAGCATTCAGCTGGAGCATACAAGCATACAGGCTAGTTAGGAAGGTTCAAGAAGGCAGGATGAACCCTTTAATTAAGAAGAGTAATGTATGCAGCCTTGGTAAACACAGCGCAGAGTAAGCTGCCACATTGGTAACAGGTTCCATGTAGGGAATTAAGCGTTGCATCCACTTTGGGCCCAGAATACCATAGGCAGGAGAGACCACACAAGAGATTTGGTACTATTTCAAGTCAGTAGCCTGTGGAGAACGGCCACTCAAGAAGCTCCATTTTATTTCATAGATCAGGAAGAGATTAGAATTTGCCTCCTCTACACCTGAGCCACAACTCAGTTACGTCAGAAATAGTTTACTGCTACGGAGTGGTAAATTCTTTACAAAGTCAAACAGTCTTGGATTATACACACACTCTACCAACTTTAATCACAAAAAAGGATTTTGTCTAATCTTTAAAATTCATCTGCTACAACACTCTAGAGAAACCTCACAGTAAAACCGTAGGCAATATCATGAAGAAATACTAAATAAAAAAAGTGGCCCTGAAACAGAAATTGATACAGTACCCTGCATGGAATTTAAACCACAGGTTAGCAAAATTAACAAATTGTGGTTCTGAAATTTAATAAAACTACACAACAATGTAATGCAATTACATGCATGCTAAATATGAACAGAAACATGTCTACATAAAGAGTGACCAGTATTATTTTTCCTTCTACTGGCATACATAAGATCCAATAAAGTGGGTGAACAAGTGTCTGTTTAAGGCATTTCATTACCAGGAGAACAATCATTCTTAACAAAGTTTCCCAGGTATTTTTGATGTACAGAAGCTCAAGTTTCTTGCAGAATCTATGCTCACAAATGCCTCTTGAAGACATGAAGTGTGCAAGTGTCTAAAGGAGCAATTTGTATTCATAGAAGTCATCCTCTGGACTTTAACACACAGCATGAACAAAAATTTTTTGCACAAGACATAGTATGAGTGTGATGATTCCTTGGGTCAAAAGGTCTCATGCATTTTCAAAACAGTGACATTTACTTCCACCTTCTGTTTTCATCCTATGGCTTCCTGGTAAAGAGAAATTTCTCTTGACCAATGGCTGAGCAGTCTTCTAGTGTTTTACTTTGTGCTAAACCCATCTAAAGAGTTAGGCACATCATTGGCAGGATGATGGACACATAATGACCCTCTACAGACATTTGTGTAAAAGAAAGCTCCTGACCTACAGTAAGCAAATTCTGAGTCTTTATCATGTTTGCTCTTATTTTATGGCTGCTGTTCACTTGTTCTAGAAGAAACCTTCCAAGGTAGCATTTCCTTCTCTGTAATACCTGGTGACTATCCTCTACTACACTTTATTCTAAAATTCTCAATCCTTTACGTTTTGATATGCAAAGGTACTGACAGGACAAACATACTTGTTTGTCAGAATGAGGGGAAACTCTTCAGAAGCTATTTATGGCAACATTCATATCTCAGATTCACATACCAACACTCTTCCCTCTCTCCTGTTTCTGATCTTGCAGCTATGTATTAAACACTTATCAACAGAATTGTTCAACTATATTGATTTTATCACTGCTTGTCCTCCTTTCAGGCTCTGCTTTTATCCCTCCACCTTCTTTCCCTCATTTCCCCCATATCTGTTTATCTCACTTTATCACAACATCTCTTTGTATAACTTCAGTTTGTCTAGTCCTACACTCCCTATCCCAAGCCCAGAACACTCTATCTACCTCAATTTTGTATCCCCTTTTTCCCCTCAGCTTGAACATCATAATGAATTGCCTCCATAACTCAAATACTACTCTCTTTAACCTTCACACTGTCCATTTTTTCCATATCTGGTTCACTCCCACTACATTTGCCCTGCTTTTTCATGCAGAAGCAACAGAACAACAAAGAACATGGAGCAATGGGAGAGCTTTGCAACTAGCTAGTCTCCTTATTAGAGAGCTCAGCTCAAGTTATTAAAGAATATTTCAGTGAATACTGTTCCCTGAGCCATAAAGAAAATAATTACACAAACTTAATTATCATCAAAATATACCTAAGGGGCATAACCTCTTTCTGTGCCACTGAGATTTGCTCATTTCACTTCTCACATGCTGAAGTAAAGAGGACTAGCATTGCATGTCAGGACATTTAGACTTGGACGGGCACTTTTGACAAACTCTAACTCTGCTCTGAGATCCAGGAGAGCAACCTCCCTCTCCTCTGCAGCTATCAGAACTCCTATAGGCTCTCTGCATATTAGCAGAGAATGCACAGGATGACCAAAATTTTGGAACATGTATCAATACGAAAATATGGCAGATGTAACAGAATAAAAATGTTAGTATTGAAAAAATCAATAGAGAAATGTTTACCAGTGCTTTCATTGCTAAACACTTACATAAAGCACAATGCATTTCAAGAATGTGAGAAAATAAAAATACTCTTAAATAGCCAGCCACACCACTATAAGAATATGAGAGACAATCTTCATATAAATATGTGCAAAAGACAGTATTTTCCCTAGTTCAAATACTTAAATAAACATTGATAGTTTTGTATCCAGTAATCTCACAATAAAATATCTTAAAGCTGAAGGAAGAGGCTATTTTGACCTCTTCTTTGCTATAAAATATATACCTAACCTTCTTAAAGCCCTGGAATGAAAATTTGCTCTGCATTTAAGTGTTCAGAATTGATGCTTTCTTTGGACCAGAACTGCACTTGTAACTCCTCTACCTTCAAGAGAACAAACTTTGAAGTGTTATTCTTCCATTCCAGCCAAAAATAAACTTATATTTTAAGAAATGACAACTTACAGATCAGACAAACCCAGATGGCGAAAAGGCTTCTTGGACAAACTCGAGAGCTTGTTTCTGGATAAATTGCTATGGCAAAAGAGAAAGATTGCATTAATTAGAATTGCTTCTTCTTACACTAAAAATACAGTTTGTGTCTCTTGAAAAAGCAATTAAGAACTAGAACCAGCTCTAAAAGTCCTTGGACTTCAGTTGTGAAAGGGTAGTGTTCAGTCTTACTTTGTGATTTGAAGGGTTTCAAGGGCTTGAGTCCAGTCAGCATCTAATGTCAAGTACATTCAAAATCAAACTCAACAGAAATCAATATTTTCACTTTTAGCACTTTGTCAATTGCAGAAAAGCAGCAGATTTAACTGTGTTTCAAAAGTATTTTGTAAAGTCCAGGTGTTAGTTATATGCTCAATTTATTCATGTGAAATGGGTTTATCCCTTTCTTTGATGCTGCACCAAACTCTGTACTCATATAAGCCCTCCTCACATGCTAGCACACATCCACATGAGAATTTTTTAGTTGTTCTTTTCAAATTGCATGTGCAATATGCACCCACATGGAAGATCAAAAGGAAAACTGTACAATGCCTGTATTGGGCTTTTTTATGTCAATTAAGCATTTAAGGTTTCCAGTGGTAATTAAGTGAAAGGTCTTCTCCCATTATGCAGAGCAAAGAAATGTTGATCAGAACCAGAAATACTCCTCCCTTCATAGCTTACAAAACTGCTTTCTCCACCCCAAAGCAAAATAATGCTGGTTTTGTACAGTCTTATCAGTCTATGAATTAAAGATAGTGAGAGCAGTAAGCTGTTTAACTGCCAGCAGTAAAGCACAAATCAGTGTTATGAATGAAAATACATGAGTTTTATGTGGTATTATGAAGGTGCCATAGGAGCTCCACAGTTAGTATTGCATTGCATCTAAAACCCAGGATTAAATATCTTTTTTTTTTATCTGACTAAAGAACAGTGTTTAGTTCCAAATTTTCAGTTGTTGATTATATTCAGTTGTATCTCTGAGCACAAGATAATTTTTACAGAAATTACAAGTTGGATATTCTAAACATGTTTAGAGCAGAATCAAAGAGATTATATTTCATCATGGATTCCTTCTGACAAAAAAAAGCCTGAAGTTTACAAACTGACTGGTCCTTACATGTGAGAGCAAAGCACAAGAACTACTGCTTCATTAGTCAGGTGAACTCATGGACCCTGATCAGATAAATCAACAATAAGGTGCAATTTGCATATAGAATAGAAGTTATATTTGAACAAAAACTGGCAGTATGCATTTTTTCCTAGTATGCATATGCTCTGTGTTGGGAGTTTGCATAAAAGATGGATCTTCAGACTGACTTGGGCTCCAATGTGGAGCCACAAAAAACTCCATCCCTCCATGGGAAACTCTTCACTCAGCACACAGGAAGATCACTCCTGTTCCCACACTAATGAATGGCATGTATGGAGGCCCCTGTGGTATTGCCAGACAAGGCATGACTCTTTTACCTGCAGATCAAATATTACCTTTCCCAAAAGACAGCCAGATATACAGTGAGCTTCACCTGCAGACCACTGCTGTAAATTTGTCATCTTAAGCAATACTTTGACAGAAATTTTCATTTTATGTATATATTTTTCATAAAGTGATAACTTATTTCTGACTACAGAGATGCCTACTGCGGTCTTCTTAATTCATATTAAGTGAAAAAAATCACTGCCAGGTTTATTTTGAAGTAGTTAATGATCCCACTTCCACTTTCACGGAAAGAGAATATGAATTAATTTCCCAATTCAACTACACACAAAAATACCACAGAAAGCAGCCCAAAAAAATACATATGAGGTTCTAAAGGGGCTTTTTCTTATACAAAAAAACCCCAAAAACATGTCACAAGTACAGAACCTGGCCCCAAAGCTAAACTTAAGGAGAGTTTAAGTCTCTCCGTCAACAGTATGCCTGTATTTTATATGAAAATATCAAGCTCACTTTAAACTTGCTAGTCCTAATTCATCTAAAAGCAAACCAGTGGCAATATGAGTAGAACAAAACCAGACTGAGAAAGCACATAAAGATTTACAGAGCTAGCAACATGGGCAGAGTTCTATCCCTGTACTGCTTCTGAAAAGGGGAGGCAAGAAAGAAGGTAACAGATCTAAGGGAAAGAGGTGAAGACATGGCCATTTTGCTACACTCAGTCTCCCTCCACAGGCAACACCCTGCTCTGACTATGGCTGGAATGAGCCCTGTGTGCAAACAAGGGGAAATCTGCTGCAAGGTTGATCTCAAATGGTTTCCTTTGGCTGCCTTACCTATATCAAAACAGTGTAGAGATACAAAAACATTTTAATACCTGGAGCTGTATATATACACTACACTTGCAATCTGTGATTCAGCGATGCATTTAGACACAGGCTGGCACATAACAACAACTAATTTTAAAAGTTTTTGTAAATAGGCACTTGCTGTGAAAGTTTTCACATTTAAAGGCACTTACAATATAGCATGCATGTGTATTACACATGTCCATTAAATTACCCTTAGCAGCAAATAAGTTTATAAACTACAGCACTACTAAAATGAGATTGCTGGTTAACTTGAGTCTACAGGCAGTGAAAATACCAAAATTAGATGAACAAGGCTATTAATTACACTTTAATAGCAACTATTAGGGCATTTATTTTCCTGTTGTTTATGTTATTACTCAAATCTTCTCGTGATAGATAATTTTAGAAATATACCTGGGCTACATAAGCTTTCCCAAGAAAATAAGGAAATTACAAAAAAGGGTTTGAGAAAATGTATGTTAATAAATTTCTTTTAAACTGATACACTTGCATGATTCATAAAATAAATACTACTTTTATATAATATAGCTCCTTAACTACATCAAAAGATTTTTCATAGAATAAAAAAGAAAGCTGTAACAGTATCACAGCAAAATTAATGCTTATAAAGTTACCTCAATCTTCAGAAAAGTGCTTTTTGTTTTTTTTATGGGGTAGTAAAAAATTTGTTTCCAAATAAAATGTAAGACTTCTCAAAGACCTGTACTGTACATTACCCTTGCAAAATGAAATTACTTTAGTGCTTAATAGTTTTCACTGTCCCAACCACAACAGGAGCTATACTTCCTTCATAGGCAGTCAACAGGATTTTTATTGCTGATGACAACAAGCCATGATTCACTGGGGCTTTCAGAAACATTTTAGTGTGCATAATGACTTGCCAAAGAAAACAAACAAATGCATTTTGCAGGGATAACAGATCAGCCTCGGTAAAAAAATACCTCTATACTTACTGCTTTGTCCTGTGCATCTAGAGCAGCTGGTGCTGCTTAATATTTTTCCATCTTATCTGGGCTTATCCTGTGTCTGCCAACATTACTAAATCCCCACCAAAAAAAACCCACAGTACGAGACTGGATAATCTTCTGGTTCATAATGTAAGTATTCTGCATCAAGAACTCATCTGTATCAACTGAACAGATGTCAAGTCAGTCTAATTTGTTTCTAACAAGGAACTTCATGAGTTACAGCTCTACCAAAATCTGCTTAACAGCAGATACATATCCCCAGTTTGACTGCATGCTCAAATGAAGCTCCTCCTACGGTTGAAACATTTTAAAGCCATCTTATCCAACTGGATTCTGTAAAGCCTAGCAGCTCACATATGTACAGTGATATTTTTCCCTTAAGTGGTAACTTTGATAAGGTCTCTCTATTCTGTTCAACAGTCAGTTTTCTGAAAACTTGTTCACCTGTCTAAGTTTTGGTTAAAAGTAAACACTGGAGACAGACACATTTTGTGATTGCATGAAACCCATTTCCCTAAGGCAACAGGAAGAAAAGCCTTTCAAGAGGATCATACCAGTTACTGCATTTTCTGTGGTGTCTACCTGCCCAGGCAGCTGGAAAGGTCTTCCAAAATTCTATTAATCTTTCTCCAAACTAAACTCATTATTTCTCACATCATGGTAATGGAGAGAATTGATTCCTTTCCTCATCATAACTACTCTTCTTTTAAAGATAAGAAAAGCACAGAAGCATAGAATCATAGAATAGTTTAAGAGACCTTTAAAGGTGATCTAGTTCCAGCTCTCCAACATCTTCAACTACACCAGCTTGCTCAGAGCCCCATCCGACATAATCCTGAATGCTTCCAGGGCTGAGGTATCCACCATGTCTCTTGGCAGCTTGTGCCAGTGTTTCATCACCCTTATTACAAAAAACTTCTTCCTTATATCTAATCTAAATCAACCTTCTTTGATTTTCAGATCATTATTCTTTATCCTATTGCAATGATGTATGTTCCTTTTCAATCTTCTCTTTATTGCACTGAACATACTCAGGGTCTGAGCCTCCTTATGTTATTTGCTTTACAAGCTTCTTCTGGCTCCACTGCTCTTCTCTGTAGCATCTTTCAAGATTAGTAGATTCGGTGTCCTAATCTACATACAGTATTTGATAGATTCCCTCAGAGCAGCTAATGCAATGGGGAAAAGATGTAAAAAGGTAACACAATTTTCCTTTTGATCCCAGACTTGAATTTGTTTTGTTCTGCCTCATTGCACAGAGAGAGAAACCCACTTCTTTCCCAGCAGAGTCACTAAATCTTTCTCTGCCCCTCAGACATCATGTTCTTATTGCATATTTCTACAGCCACTGCACATACACTTGGCTTTATGGAGTTTCATAGTTTATAGCCATAATTCACTGAGCAACTGTTACACAGGCCCACACTTGAATTTACCTGGAACACATTTCCTTATATTACCAAACGATTATAGTAAAAGTTCTTTAATACTGACTATATGAAGTGATATAAATTTCACAGGCTCACAAGATCTGGTTCACACTCCTCTGGTGACTGTCCCATATTACAGATAGCAATTACTGTCTAGACAGAAACTAACATTCATGTCCACTTCCTTACACAAATTAATTGCTGCTGTTTACAAAATACCGGTCAGAAAGTGATTCCATCTCATGAGCAAAGCAATCAAATCAGAGACCTGTGTTCTGTTCAACAGTTCTTCCCTTTTACAAGGAAGTGTCTTACAAACCAAGGTTTGGCATTATGTCTTCCCAATCTCACTAGGATAAAAGCAAAGGGTTCGGTTAACTGTTAATATAGGTTAGTGTTCATCTCTTGAAGAGGTATGGACTAAATGTATTCCACACACTTGAAATACTTAGCTAAAACAGGGTACTTGTGAGGAACTGAGCCACTCACATGACCTCAGTATTTTACTGGACTAGATCCACAGTTTCCCATGTAGGTAACAAAGTGAGCTATGCTATGTCTGTCCCACACAGAAGGCACAGAAGTTGTAGAAAGAGAACTTTGATCAGTTCATCCTTTGCTAAATCTAAAGCATAACAAATCTAGGCAAACACAGTCAAAAACCTGCACAGGTACAAATTCCTGTAGGTCATGAACTACAAATCACATTTGGGTGTGAAAGAAACATCATTCCAATATTCTGCTCTGGGTGCATTAGTTCTGATCTTGAGTGAGCATTCTAAGTGAATCATCCCTAGGACTTTAGTTCACAGTCGTATCGCAGTCTCTGGTCACATACACTGATCAAAACATTAAATGTACTCCATACATGCATCTCCTGCACTGCAGCTGCTAAAATATGTTCAGCTCATCGAATCAGACTAGAGCTAGTCAAAACCATGTCACTGAGTGTGATGCACAGTGTGGACATCATACCCTCAAGAAACACACTCTTTCTGCTACATTACTTGTCACAAAAGACACAGCCAAAGTACACTGCTAGAGACAGAATGATGAACTGGATGGTCTTTTCATACATTATGTTTTTATGATCCAGTTCCTTACCATATATGTCATATTTAAGGGCAATTAACGATAGAAGACCATTCTAAGTCTGTCTTGTTAAAATATTTTTACATTAAGCAAATGGTAAGAGATAGAAATAAATTAACATGAGCTGGGTAGTTTTGACTCAGAAAGCAGACACTATTCTTACTCACATGTATTGTAGGTTCACATTTTTGACAAATGCATGACGGGACACGAATCTTAGGCCTGAATCCACCACAGTCCTAGGAAAATAAATATAATTTTAAAAATATTCAATTTAAAATATGATGGAAAGTGTAATGAAAATACCTATTAAAATCAGAGTTTGGAGGAAATATCTGCAAGGCTGAGCTGCAAGATTTACTACTTTTCCCAGTAACACACAAAGTTTGGCATACATTTTGATAAGGTCTCTACATGTTTCTATAAAAGAAATACAGAAAAAAATAGTTGTATGAAAAGTATCTCATACTCACAGATTTTTAAGTCCAACATAAAATCCAACCTCATTGTCATTGATACTTTCCAAATTTGGCTGGTTTGCGATGTAACTGTTGAAAAAGGAAAAGGGAAAGAAGTATGTAAATGGATCCTTCCTTGACTTTCTGACTGCTCAGAAATCATGCACTGATGTATGGATGTCAGTTATGATTGCTGACCTACCATAATTATTTCTAAGTCCTAATTAAACCATCTGCAAAGCAAAAGTGGTCCTTAAAAATCTTCCTCATAATTTAAATGGTACTCTTTGGGACAGCGGAGCAGCTCATTATTACACAGGGGAAATGAAGAAAGCAAGTCAACCTGAAGGCCAAATAAAGCTGCATTACAATGTCACCATTCTCCAAGACACATGTACTTACTGCATGGATTTAACAACAACTAAGGGGGTAAGTTTAAGGGTAGTACTGGAGTTATCTCCACTTACAAGACAATCATACTTCCCTGGGCTTTTCCCTCATGTTGTTAACTTAATCACTTATTTTTTCCCTGACACAAAGTAATTTCAGTTCTTCCTACAAGGTGTGGCAATGGGAAAATTGAGAAATTAGAGGTTGTACTTCATGATGTTATATACACAAGCAGAAATTAAGAGACGAGAAACTGCTGTATCAGACTAAAGTACTGGGTCCACTTACATATCCTTAATATCTGCCTACAAGGATGTGTGCATGCAAGCCAGTCCTTTGTATTATGACCATGTGAGATCTATGAATACCCAGTGACTTCCCACAGACTGGAAATTAAAATATTCACAGCAAATGTATCATTACCACTTCTACAGGAAGAGTTTCACAGTGGAAATCACAGAATCCAGGAAGGAGAACTCAGTGTAAACTGCAATTTTTCTGATATTAAGGGCAGCAAAGCATGCCTTATTTAAGGGATGCCTTGCTAAAGGGTCCACACATTTCAAAATATTAGCCCAGTCCCAGAAAAACTTAGAGAGATTGACATGTGCTTTCACATGCATCACAAACTAACCAAAGATGCAGATTCTCCTAAAATGAATGAGTCTTTCTTTGTGAGAAGAAAACTTTTCTTCATTCAAAGCATTTTTTAGAATTTACTTAAAGGGAATTCTGGTGAATTAGGAAGCAGGTGTATTGCTCTTCCAAAGGCAATCCATGCACCTGAGCTGGTGCATGGACTGCCTTGTTAGGAGAAATTCATTGTGTTTCTAAATCCCAATAGAAGTCTGAGAATCCCATAAATTCGGTTGGGCTCTCCTCCAAAGCTGCAGTGCTGACTTGGGATACACTCTCACCATGCACCAGGAAAAGTAAAAAGTTTCCCCTAATGGCATCCATTGTCCCTCAAGAAAAAGAATGGCAGTAAAAAGAATACGTGATGCTAGATGGAACACCTTACTACAGCATCATATGACATTGACTGCTCTGTAAGACTTTTGCGAATAAGATTAACATTGTGTATCCATTAGAAGATGAGTCCTTTGTTTTTGTGTTTCCTTTCCTGAATTTTTAAGACAGTGTAATTTAATAGCTCAATATATACTAATCTATTTTGTTTGGTTGGGGATTTTTTGTAGGTTGGTAAGGTTACATATTTTGCCAAGTAACAGTGATTAAATAGCATATAAATATCTATCAATTCCTTCATCTAAGAGTCCTGAAAGTCAATGAACATACTTCCTTTAAACATGCCCTGAAGAACTCATTTTTGAGTTAAACATCATCCATCTTCTCTGCCACTTGGATCTTATAATGGTAAAATAAAGTTATGCAAGAGGTTTCAAAGGTACCTTCCTCATCCTGTCCTCAGTTATCAAACAACAGTAATCCTGTCAAGGTCAAATAGAGACTTAAGAACAAATTGAGGAATTGAGGAGAATGGGCACTGAAACACAAAGTGTGAAGAGACTCAGATTTAAAGAAAAGAAACAGAATAACCAGTTGCACCAGCTAAGAATTAGGCCATCAAAAAAAAAAAAAAAAAACAAAACCAAAAAAAACCAAACAAAAACAAAAAACCCAAACAAAAAAAACCACCCAAACCTGACAAACACTGCTATCCAAATCTGAGATTGCAATTTAATCACTTTAATATTTAACCAGAACCACTCACTACAAGAAACTCCAGAACATGACATAACTTACACTGTTGCACAAAAATTTGTTAGTGTATTACATCATGTGTTAAGTCTCAGCATAAGATAGTTCAGCTCTGCTGAAGCCTATTAAGCTTCACAATTTACATCAGACACAAATGTTACTATAAGCACACTATCTATATAAAGAGATTGATATTGGTCCATCAGGGAATACACCAAACAAATTACATTTGGGAAGCAGTAGTATGAGTTTGTGGTATCTTCTCTCCTTCTCTTATTGCATCCCTTAGAAGAAACCCTAGGTAGGGGAGAGCAGGGCATTCTTTACGTTGAGCTGGAACTGGTTTCTCTAAGATGAATGATTTATAATTCCATTTTCTAGCTGAAAGAACCAAAAGAAACCATTGCTTTTCCACAACCATACTGGTTGGGACCCAGAAGAACTTTTGTCTAAGTGCAACTAATTCAATAACTGCTCTGCAATACACTTGTAAGAGCACTCTCAGTACAGAACACAACAGTAAAACAAAGTTCACACACTTGGAAATCCTTGAAGAAAGAGTAGACAGATGTAATTTACCATAAGCAAGTCACATCCACTTACACTTCCTTACTCACTTAACAAGTCTGTTTCAAGTTAAGCCTTTGCAGCTATGTCATAGCTGAAAGAAAGAGTAAAATGATGTAGCTGTACCCTATAAGGGGAAGTTGCTCTTTTGTTTAATTTAGAGGGAGATCTGAAACAAAACCTCTCCCTAACTGAAGTCTATTTTTACCTTCTTCACAACTACTTTACCTTAATGTTACTTATCATCAAACATTAATACTCTAAAAGCTTTGACTTGCAGTGGGCGACACTGAGAAATGTAATTTGCCTGCCTGCCCTTAAGAATATCAACCCTATTCTTTAACAGAACATTTTTACTGCAGCACAAAAGAAAAACATACTGACTCATGGCTGGCTGAAGTCACGTGAAGAGCTTGGAAGCTTCCACTGCACATCACAGCAGTGTTGTTGCACTGCCAGATCCTAGCTGGATAGCACCAGACAGACCACATATATCAGTTCACATATACTGGCTGCCACCTCTAAATCAAGTTCTTAGCTGCCTACTAAACTATTTGATTGATTATACTGCAGCATTCTGTGTCTCCTTCAATGAGTAGTCAGTAAACAATAATCGTCTTCATATCTTTAATTTAATCTCTCCATTGTAAACTACTGATTAATTCTAATGAAGCAATTCAGAATCACACACCTAGGCTGCACATTGCAACCTACAAAAGCATGTTCATCTCACCATACTTCAACAGACACTGAATAATGTCACACACTCACACTTCACCACTGCTACAAAATTTTGGAAACAATAGTTTAAAATCCTGATCTGCAGGAGTTAATTCCTCCAAGTAAGACCTCCTTTGAGAAGGTGGCCTTCACTTATGCTCATTACAAAAGCGAAAGTATACAGAGTATATTTAACATCAGTGAAGCAACTTCTGAACTAGAAAAGCATGAAAAGAAAATGGGTTCTAATCTTTAAAGCCATCTAGATTATTTAACGTTCCTTAGTAATTTTAAAAAGGGATTTAAAAAGGGATTTTTCCTTAGCCTGAATATAAAAGGCCAGCAGAAATATGCCTTCCCAACCTACTTACTCTATTTCCTCCTGCTTAATATATGTTAAGGTATACTACTCCATCTGGAGTTATAAGGACATGCTGGAAAAAAAAAATGTTAGTCTTAATAACATCAATGCAAGCAAATAACACTGTAGTGCAGTTCCAGAAGTATTTCTCTTGCCAAAAAATTTCCTTTATTGGAAACATATTTTCTTAACACTCCAAAAAAGTAAATCAATTTTATGTTTAGCTCTAGTTTATACAAAAAATATTTTAAAATTAATAAACGTCACTGGTGAAATGTTTCTGAACTCGAAAAACTTTATATCCCAAGTTGTTTCTTCACTAAGTCTTTAGGGGACAAAGGCAGCACACTTCAGACATTGAACTGTTAGTAGATGAATTACCATTTAATGACAGGACACATACGTCCCTAGTCTAGACTACTGTGAGAGCTGTATGTTAATAGTAAGAATTAAACACTGTAAACTTCCCTAGAGCCATGTCTTCTTACAAACTCAAATATGATACCATATTCTTTAAAAGGTAGGCTATAACTTGAGACATTTTTAACAAATGCATACTGATTCATTGTTATGCATTAAGATCACGTAAAATTTGTAAACTGGATACAATACTTAATGAAACCTGGTATATTGAACTGGGTTACATTTGTAGCCCTTCTGAAACCAAGTTTAAAATAATGCTCAAGTGGTACAAACTCACAGTTGGAAAATTAAGCACAGAGCTACACAAGTTGCATATCAGGAATGTAGAGTTTCAGACAGATGTAGGCATCAACGCTATAATCTTTGCTCGATCAAGAAATCTTCCTCCAAAGTACCAAGCTTCCTCTAGGAAGGAAACACCTAACAAGCAATGAGTGATATAGACACCTAAACCCAGAAAATATTCTACAAATATACAAGCTTACTCCAATTTTATTCTATTTTGTTTCTTCCATCTGGTACCGTAAGTGCGAGATTTAACAAGGATAACTTCAGGAAACAGAACATCTACTGCTAGAGGAGCATGCCATAACTCAGGAAAGATGCAGTGTGTCAAGACCATCCACGGTGGACCCACCTAGCATTCAGAAATTTTACCAGTGCTTAACTCCTTCCTTGGCTGCCCAGTGTCTCCTGACAAACTCTGAGCAAGTGCTGCAGTGTTTTTCTGGGGTTTTTTTTTTTGTATTTTTTTAAACCATGAATCACCCTGTATTTCACAAAGAGCGAAAAACTTGTTGCCACTATCACAGGGCTTTTTCCTCACATTTATAATATTTAACCACAAGTCGCAGAAGACTTCAGGAAATAGCTCTCCACGTGCCAGTACAGCAGCTCTGGAGACAAC